TATGTGTAGTAAAAACGAAAACCAAAGTTGGCAGGTCATCGACCATGCAATTTTCGTGGTTATTAACCTGTCATTTGAAAGTTGTTTAAATGGGCGATATTTTAAGTCTTCATTTTAATGTATCCTCCACGTTTTTACGTACCTAGAGACCGCTTAATCTATAATATATTTTTATGTGGCATACTGCATGCACGGAGGTGTCATGATTTCTAATTGATCACATTAATTTATAATATATTCTTTTATATATTAAAGTCTAATAATTTACTTCTACTTGAACAGACTGCATTAGTAGATATACAGCTGTGGTCGATTAACGTAATTTCATTTTTTGTAAGTTAGTAGCTGACTCCGGAAACGTGTTTAGATTGGTTTAAAAATAAACACGGGCAAGAGGGGATAGCTGGTTGGAGGCAAGAAAGGAGAATGGGATTTTTGGGCCTAAAGTTAACTAATTGGAGAGCGTTTTTCTGGAGAGATTTTGTTTTGAAAATAAGTACAGTTGATTAAGTGTACTTACTACTCGTACATCAACTCTACATAAGTGTTTATTGTTTAATATTAATTATATAATTGCTTATCTAGTCTAAGAATATAAGAGATTGTTTTATATTATTACAGAAGAGTGTGAAATTTGGCAAACCTACTTAAATTTTATATCGACGAATGCAGAAAACTCAAAGTTATTTTATGTTGTGTTAGAAATACATTAAATTAAGTTAAATAAAACATAAATTATTTACGTTTATACTGCTAATGCCAAACGCTTAATTGTCGCTTGGACCAATTAAGTAGATTGTTAACGTTAATAGCACTACCATTGTCTCAGAGTTAGTATTATGAAAATTATCTCTAAGGCCAATGTCTAACACTTAATAGTCTGTGGTGAAAGAGTTGCACAGATTGTCGACACAAATAATTTTAAAATGTTGCTAACAAATAATTACAGACAGATTGAGCGAATGAGCTGCGAATTTTGTATTATATTAAATGTACCTTTTTCAGTAGTATGTGGTGTACATTCAAGGCAATAAAGCATTTATTTAATACTAGCTGTTCCCCGCGACTTCGTTCGCGTGTTAGTGTTTTTATGTTTCTGCGCGGAACCCTGATTCTTTTTCTAAAATAAAAGTAGCCTATTTTACTCCTTATGAAATCAGCTATCTGCCAGTGAAAGTCCCGTCAAAATCGGTCCAGCCGTTTCGGAGATTACCCGGAACAAACAGACAGACAGACAGACAGACAGACAAAAATTTTAAAAATTGTATTTTAGTTATAGGTATCGTATTTACTTTCATATGCATTTAGTAAAAAACTGTAATTTTGACATTACAAACAGACACTTCAATTTTATTTATTTGTATAGATTTTGTATATCAGATATGCTTAGTTTTATATATTAATTAACTAAACATATTTTAACCAAAAAGTCGTATTATAATATTGACGACTATTTGTTTGACAATTTTATAATTTATAATTAAAAATTTTGTACAGCCGACTTCAATATAAGTTATTAAGAATAACTCAAAAACTATTGGTCTGACCTTGATCAAATTCATATCGACTCGAAATCGGTTCACCCAGTAAAAAGTTATGAGGTAACACACATAAAAAACATACAGTCGAATTGAGTACCGTCTCCTTTTTGGAAGTCGGCAGAAAATTGAACTATATTAGGTAGTAATTTATTGAATAGAACCACAAAACTTTATCCGTTAATGTTATTTAATTGTAAGTAATTAAGTATAATTTAATTATTGCAGTTATTATAATAATATTTGTTAAATTGTTATGATGTTAGTAATACAAATAAAATTATTTTATGTAAATGTAATTGTCAGAAATGTCCATTCTAATTATCTAAAATAAAAAATATCTTGTAATTAATTAGTTTGCATACCGGAAGGTTTTTGTTAAGTTCTATTGTAATTGTAAGGCATATATCGCAAACGAATAAATGAATTTGAAATAAAGTTTACTTGATAAACAAACTTAAAAATTTAATAAATTACGGTCTAATTTCGACCTCTATAATTTATGTTTGCCTAGTACTGTTCCTAAAAAATTATGAAAACTGATGACAACTTCCATGTTTTATAGAGTAGAATGAGAATTTTCTTCCCCAGTGGTATTATACCCAGTAAGGCCTACTTGGTAAGAGAATTCCCAATAATCTTCCTTGTAACAACTATTTAGTAAGACTTTGGGAGTGCACCACGCCCTGAAGATTATGACTACTGGGATATGGAAGAATACTTCGAAATTTTAAATAGGTGTGTACCGTGTATGTTTTCTTTTATATAAATTTTTATGTTACTGGTAATATCCGAAGAAGTGGTAAACTTAGGTTGTTCACAGTGCTTAAGTCCGAATAATTTATAAATAAGTAATATATAAGTAATTGTCCGCGGCTTTAGCGCCGCTACTGATAATACTTGATATTTTGTGCTTTCGTATTTTTGACAAATTTAACAGAGGTCACCAATGATTATCCCGAATTTATCCAAAAGCACTGGGTAAACCTAGGTTTACTACTCCTTCGGGAATTAACCGTAATATATATAAATGTTTATAACAAAAACATACACGGTACATACCTTTTTAAAAATAGAAACGGTCTTTAGGGGCCTCAAAACTCGTGGATATACATTAAATTATGGACTTAAAAATATGACGTAACGTTAGTCTGCATGGTACGTTCGTACATCTGTTACTTTTTCATCTCAAATTCTACATAGCATCTCCAGAAAAAATTATAATATTGGCTCTCGAAAGTATTTTAACCCCCGACAAAAAAGAAGGGTGTTTGTTATATGCTTAACCTGTGTATCCGTGTTTCTGTGTATTTGTGTATATGTGTGGCATCGTAGCTCCCAAACGGATCAACCGATTTAGGTTGATTGTTTTTGTTTTGTTTGAAAGGTGACTTGACTGAGAGTGTTAATTATTATTAGCTCTTTTTGTTTCGGTGTTTTTTTTTTAATTAAGTTGTTAGTCGATGCTTATAAATATCTGATTAAATTTTCATTAAAATCTGTTGTGTATTTTTGTTTGAAAAATAAATAAACTCACAATAATGGTAAGTTAGTAGTTGGTAGTGAATACCAAATCGCAAACACATCTATTTTATGAAGCAATACTAGGTCGTGGGTCCGAATTCGATATTCGACAAAGAATTTTAAATTTTAAACCTATTTTCAGAAGTTAAAACTGCTGGTATTATTAGATATTTATACTTTTATTTACACTTTACACTTTTTTACACTTTACACACTTTTATTTATATTTACACTTTACACAATAATAAGGATGGTAAGGGGATGTTATAGACCATAGACTTCTGCTGTGGCCATAGATTAGAGATCAAAATGTACAATAAAAATATACATAGGGAATCATATCTATATATCTTTATTAAGAAGAATCTCGACGTACATTGATGTAAATATTTTATTATTTCATGTTCTTCAATTACTTTGTTGTTTTCTTCTAGAAGTATGTTCTTTGTATATGCTTGATGATTTAATTTGTTACATGGTAACCAAGCCATACGGGACTTAAGTTATCAGAACAGGTTTGTATCATTGTTAACATAAAGTACCCACGTACTTCGTGGTTTTAAAAACAAAAGCAAGTTTATTTTTTCTTGTAAATTTAGAATAATTTATACATATAAATAAAATTGAAGTGTCTGTCTGTAATATTGAAATAACTGGCTTAGGTATATCAAGTTCAGGGGGGTTACTTGCCTGTCTGTCTGTCTGGCCGCGCTAATTTTCGGAATGGCTGAACGAATTGTGATGAAACTTTACGGATAGAGAGCAATGCCTGCAGGAAACTAGAATATAGGTACTATATTTAAAATAAAAATAAAAAATTGCAAAGAAAATCTACTAATTGAAAAAAAAAACTGATTATATCTGATTATATAACTGATAGACGAAGCCGGGACGGGTCACTTGTTAGAATAATTAAATGAAATTAAATTAAATTAAATTAAATTAAAATAAAGTACTTACAAACAAAAGTAAATTTAATTTAATTAAAACTCTAAGCTGCCACAGGAAACCTAAGATTACCTCTACGTTAAATTACACTTTATTAGGGAAACATAAAGAGCAGGTAATGTTAGATTTTTATCGACACGGGAAACATCTCAAGTTGTAATAAACTCTGCCGTATAATAAAGTAAACCAAAAACCTTTTAAAGACATTTTAAATGACAGCGGAAATCACTTAATAATAGAGTTCATAGATCACAAGATAAGTATCTAAAGTAGACAGATGTTTTTAAATAATTTTTAGATGGAATACACAGTTATAATATACACATATAAATAAAGATAATACACCATACATTATCTTTCTTTTCATATGTATTATGACTAGAAACAGAAAATATGCCTATATTTATATATATACAATATAATATATTAATTTTTAAATATAACATATGTGAAATTCGGGAAATCACGGCACATCTTCTCGTCAGGTATACCTCAAAACTTGAAAACGAGACTGTACAACCAATGCGTGTTGCCAGTAATGAGCTATGGAACTGAGACGTGGTCCTTCACTGCTGGCCGGATGAGGAAGCTCAAGGTCGCTCAGCGAGCTATGGAGAGGGTTATGCTCGGAGTTTCTCTGCGTGATAAACTTAGAAATGAGGATATCCGCAGTAGAACCATAGTGACTGACATAGCCCAACGGATTAGTAAGCTGAAGTGACAATGGGCCGGCCATGTAGCTTGAAGAACCGACAACCGACGGGGAAAAATATTCTCGAGTGGCAGCCTCGTACCGGCGGAAGAAGTGTAGGGCATAGATGGAGTGACGACCTGGTAAGACATGCAGGAAGTTGATGGATGATAGTGGCTCAGGGCCGTGCTTTGTGGCATTCCTTGGGGGAGGCCAATGTTCAGCAGTGGGCTTGTAAAGGGTTGTAATGATGATGATGATGATGTAGCCATATAACAGTTAAATTTACAATTACTCACTGGGGTATGGAGATCCGCATGCACCGGAGTGACAAGCCAAGCACGGTTCCTTTCCGTCCAAGTTCAGGTTTAGTGTGGTAGCCAGGCTCGGACGTGGGCACAACTTACAACCACCATTGAACTTCTCGCAAAGGCATACGTTATTCAAACCTTCGACCTTCAGTTCGTTCAGTCCGAACTTATCGCACTCGAGTTTCGCGAGCGAAACCGCCAGTTTTCCCGGCAGCTCGCAAGACGGGCACAATTGACACCGCGGCGTCTCCAAATTCCTATTCGACTCCGAGTCCAAATTGTCGTTATTCAGAACCGATATCTGGTAGCCCTTGTCATCTTTCTTCACGCTCGCACTGTCCGAAGTGAGATATGAAGTGAGTGTCACCTCGGAGGGAGACCGCACTGTATTGTTCAGTTTGTATTTCGTCATTTTTAAAAGATAGTTTTGAAGATGGAGGCGCGAGACATTATTTAACTATTTAACTCGTTAACACAGCACTTTGGTTTAGTCGTGTACAGTTATATCACAGTGGAAAGTTTAGTATGTCTGCCGCGACCGCTCGTGCCGGCATCAGGCAAGCGATTGCCTCTGCCTCGACGTTTGGAGCGACCGTCGTCCGTTGAGCGATTGTATTGCACTCTCAAAAAAAAAACAACAAAAATTTCAATTGATAATTTGACAGGACATATATGATGCGGTAAACTCCCGTCTACAGCTAAGTTCATAGGGTTAACTTTGCTAGTTGGCTCTACAATTCCAAATTTTATTCCACTGGGACAGGACTTATCCCACCTTATTTTGCATTAGGTACTTTGTTTATTTATATATTATGTGTGTTGAGAACATACAACTATTTTATACTGCCTATTCCTTCCTTCCTATTTTATTCCCTTTGTGTTTAATTGTAAAATAACCTAACCTAAACTATATATTTATACGCTGGCCAATAAGTAACAGACCTAATTTTATGAATTAGCCCGGTCAATTTAACTGTTTTAATAGTTTCTGTCATAATCCTTTATATTGGGCATTCTTCAAACTGTCTGGACATTATGAATAATGCCCAATTACTAACAACTGTGTTAAGCGGGCCCTAATAAGACAGAATAAATAGGAAAAAATTGGAACAAAACATGTTCGTTTATTCAATGATTCATTGTAATGAATAATTTCTTTGTAATGAATCAATGAATTTTATTTATTTTTAGTAATAGATATACATTTTAGTAAATAGTAATGTAACATTAATATATATTAAAATATCTATTTTACATATTAATATTAATATTATATTACTATTTGTCGTCACAGAGAGCGCCACTATACTTATATTTTTTCTATTCTAGTTTAGTAATATTATTACGTACCAATTTTAAATCGAAAATAATTAAATAAAAATAAGTTAACTTCATTAAATTGTGTATTAAATACTAGAGAAGATAAAAAATTATCTCCTTTTGTATTTTTCTATAAAATTAATAAATTATTTTGCAACTGGCCTATGAATTATTAAAAATAAACTAAAATAATTAATAAATGCTGTCTACACTAAAGTTTGGTAATATTCTAAAAATCTTAAAAAATATTTTGCCGCCCGAACAGGGACTTGAACCCTGGACCCTTGGATTAAAAGTCCAATGCTCTACCGACTGAGCTATCCGGGCTATGAGTATCGTGTTGAAATTATGTAATAATTTCGACACTCACTGTTATTACCCTTTTCATTATCATAATTTTTCATTCACAAGCTATAGCCCCGGGGGCCGGATGGCAGATATTAGAGGCGCCATTATACTTTTTTTAAATAACTTCTAGCTGAGCAGCTGCCAAGACATAGTGTTTAAAAAAATTAAAGCCCCCAACCTGGATGAGATGAAGTTTTTTTTTTCATCTATATCTATACAAATAAATTAAATTGAAGTGTCTGTTTGTAATATCAAAACAACAGATTTAAACTACTTGCATATGAAAGTATATACAGTATATATAACAATTTGTCTATCTGTCTGTTTGTTCCGGATAATCTCCGAAATGAATAGGACTTTCACTGGCAGATAGCTCATGTTATAAAGAGTAACTTAGCCTACTTTAATTTTAGAATAATAATTAGGGATCCGCGCAAAAAAAGATTAAAACCCAAAATTACACTCGGGCGAAGTCGCGGGGAACAGCTAGAATACACAATACATACACAATACGACGTAACCGCTTGTAGTGTGCTCCCGGCGACACCGGTTCTCGTACAAATAAGGTAGACAGCCATTCTATTGTGTATATATTCTATGTTATTTCGAAGATGTTAGTGATGTTAGCCTTTTGGCCTTTACAGATCCAGACACATCACAATCACAATGTCGTCTAAATTCCTTGTACCTACTTTACAATATAACTAAATAATTACCTTAAAAACTTCATTCCATATCTTGGCACTCTCACGGGTGTAAATTTAATTTCAAATTTATCAAAAACATAAAATAAAAAAATCTTTATTGACACAACACAGTTCACAGTTGACAAAAATATCAATATAAATAAAACATAAAAATTTAATTATAAACCTCCTCTTTTTCAACCGACTTCAAAAAAGAAAGAGGTTGTCAATACGACTGTATTTTTTTATGTGTCCAGGCGAACCGATTTTGATGATTCCTTTTTTTATTTGAAAGCTAGTGTGGTCCCATATAAATTTGATCAAGATCGTATTTAATTGACTTCGACTACATTGATGATGTTCTCATTTTATTTATATTGAAGTCGATTGTACAATTTTTTTAATATTACCACTTGTTTGGAAGTCGGCTAAACGAACTTTTTTGGATATACAGGCTACACTTTACAAGAGTAGGTATGAAAATACATTAAATACTTATGAGCTATGCAGCTGTCAGTCAGTCTGACATGGTGCTGTATTCGAAATATTTTTATTTTTGAGACACAGGAAATTTGTCTTTTCTTCACCACCGAGCACCAAGCACGTACTAAATAGCATTTAAAATTGTAATGAACAATTACATTGATGCCGGCGGAAATCGAATTCGGGTTCATTTAAATTTACAGCGGGCGCTTACTTAGCTCTCGAGCTGTCACGCTGTCAAAACCTAGTTTAAAAATTTTAGGCCCTAGTAGAACATACCTTGCGCTTTGCGCTTACGGCATGCAATATAAATGGAGTTTTGGCGGGAACTTGTCCGGCGACGCAGCGGCGGACTCTACTGCTCTTATATTTTTGTTTAAATAATGGTTTGAAGTTGATTTTGATATTTAAAAGTGGTATTATTTTGTGTATTAAATGTCTGCGCATGAGAACTTTTAGTGGAAACGGTGAAACAAGACCGATGGTGATAAGAACCTATCTAATACAGTGTCTGCTTAGGCACTTTTTTATCGACTGTTTGCTAGCTCAAGCTGCTGATTAACATCTCCCAAACACTTTACAAAATACTATTACTATTATCAACATAATATTGTGAAGAAGTTTTGAAACAAATTATTGTAAATTATAATTTCTTAATATACTTGACACTGGCAAAAGTACAGCAGTACGAGTCCATTACTAAAGAAAAAAAAACTGTCGTGCGTTCTTGAGTCCTCTGCCGAGCTCATTCGAGTGTGAAACACGTAAGCATCATATTAGTCTGTGAGTGTCTATTAGAGATCTTGAATACGGTAAACATTGAACATCTGTGTAGGGTGCGGCATCTCGTAAACTGAGTAGCAGAATCAATTGGTTTCCCGCCCGAATAGATAACATAAACAGATCTGTATAGCGGTCTCCATCTTGTATCACAGAATAAATAATAGTACTACGCTTGTCTATATATTAATGCAAGCAGCATTAAGATAAATATTACTTTCGAATAAGATAATGTTTTACTTTCCAAGTTTATTTATACAGTGTTAGTTTGCAATAATCTGCTAAATTTGCAGAGAAGGTTCAGAATAAGTAATATAGGCAAATGATGAAGAAAAATTAATTGAAAAAAAATCTCAACCATTCTGTTCTTTTTATCTTTTAAAATCAAAATGCGTGGTAATGCATTATTTTAACTGATTTTCATTCGTACATATCTAAGGACTACTATTTTACTATGCACGCACACAGTCGTAGAGATCAATCGGTCAGCAAATAAACGTTGTGAATTGAATCGCACACACAGGAGCGCGCGTACGTGTATGCGTAGTGCGTTGTTGCCCATAAATCACATTCAATTTGGGATAGTTTTAAATATTTTTTTTTTAAATGCAATAACGGTAGGTATATCCTTATTAATATATTTGAAAGTACCAGTAGCCCACGACACCACGAGACGAAAAATAGAGTAATGGATTATTTGACGCCACCACCACAGAGCATCAGGACATGCGATTTTGACGTCTAACGTTTTTTTTTTTAATTAGTTAAGTTAGCGTAATAAAATAAAATAATGTTTCTTACCTAATTTGAAGAGCACCTACCACGTTCCCGCCCTCCCTCAATTGCGTGCACTATCCCCGCCACCACTAATCCCAGTACCACTACACTAGGAGAGACACACCACCGTCGATAATATGACACGTCTTTACATTTTCGTAGAGATTCATCTGAAGACGCCTCGTCTATGGTTAACCTGCTGGGATTACTGGTAATAAAGGTAGTGCACGCAAATGAGGGACAGAAGTTGCACTTTTAACTAGGTAACACATATAATTTTATTTTATTTCGCGGACACCGCATCACTATCCCGTATACAGGCCATCGGACACCTGCCTTAAGGCCCGCCACATACATACGGAATTCCGTTTCGGGACGTTTCTTATACGTGGTAGAGTCACGCTACAGCCATGTCATCGTTAGAGCACGAATGGATCGGAACGATCGGAGAAGGAGCACGCTCTCATAGAACACCAGCGTAAATAACTGTTGTGTTTCGTATGGTGAGTGTAAAGAAACGGAGACCCTTTTTACTGGAAACGATGCATTATATTTCAGTCCTCAAGAGCGACAACGCATCTGCATTTTGATTCTTAATTGAGAATAGATGTAGATGTCAATGGGCCACAGAATCCACTTATCATCAGGTGGACTGTGTGTTCGTTTGTCACCCTTAATCTAAAAAAAATATTTTAGAGACCAAATTGACTATATATTTAAGATGGGCCAAGTTAATAAACCCTTAACGGTCGAGCATGCATGCGTATATATGAAAAAAGCGAAAGAGGTTAGGATCGTGCCAAAGGGAAGTCTATAGTCTCTGCCTACCCGTCTGTGTCACAAGCTGTTATTTAAGTTAAGTTGAATGAGCAGTGAAATAAGTTGCGTAACGCTTGAAGTAGGTATTGCCTTCGTAACTTCACTGCTTTTTAACGCGTGTATTTTACGACTTTTTTACCTGTTCTTTAAATAAGTGAAATAATACGACATTAAAACAATTTTATGTCGATAGCCCATTTTACTTTACGGTCTTATTCGAAGAGTGATTACGATAAAGGAGCAATTAGTGTTAGGTCTACACAAAAATAAGTATACTCTGTCAGCTAAATGTATGGTGACGGCCTAAAAGTATTGCACTGGCCCAAAATCCCGTGGGTGTCGTAAGAGGCGACG